TTGTTTTTTTCACTTTTTAGGTCTATGACTTATTTTGCCATACTATACTATGTCGTTTTTTAAATTTTTTTAGGTCTTACTATATTATGACGTTTTTTTCACTTTTTAGGTCCATGACTTTTTGACTTTTTTGCCATACTATACTATGTCGTTTTTTTTCAGTTTTTAGGTCTATGACTTTTTATGACTTTTTTTGCTGTACTATACTATGACGTTTTTGCCATACTATACTATGTCGTTTTTTTCACTCTTTAGGTCTGTGACTTTTTTTGCCATACTATACTATGTCGTTTTTTTCATTTTTTAGGTCCATGACTTTTTGACTTTTTTGCCATACTATACTATGTCGTTTTTAAAATTTTTTTAGGTCTTACTATATTATGACTTTTTTTCACTTTTTTTGCCATACTATACTATGTCGTTTTTTAAATTTTTTTAGGTCTTACTATATTATGACGTTTTTTTCACTTTTTAGGTCCATGACTTTTTGACTTTTTTGCCATACTATACTATGTCGTTTTTTAAATTTTTTTAGGTCTTACTATATTATGACCTTTTTTCACTTTTTTTGCCATACTATACTATGTCGTTTTTTTCACTTTTTAGGTCCATGACTTATTTTGCAATACTATACTATGTTGTTTTTTTTCATTTTTTAGGTCCATGACTTTTTGACTTTTTTGCCATACTATACTATGTCGTTTTTTTTCACTTTTTAGGTCTATGACTTTTTATGACTTTTTTTGCTGTACTATACTATGTCGTTTTTTTCATTTTTTAGGTCCATGACTTTTTGACTTTTTTGCCATACTATACTATGTCGTTTTTTTCATTTTTTAGGTCCATGACTTTTTTGCCATGACTTTCTTTCTCTTTTTTTGCCATACTATACTATGTCGTTTTTTTCACTTTTTAGGTCCATGACTTTTTTGCCGTACTATACTATGTCGTTTTTTTTCACACTATACTATGTCGTTTTTTTCACTTTTTAGGTCTATGACGTTTTATGACTTTTTTGCCATACTATACTATGTCGTTTTTTTCATTTTTTAGGTCCTTGACTTTTTGACTTTTTTTTCATTTTTTAGGTCCACGACTTTTTGACTTATTTTGCCATACTATACTATGTCGTTTTTAAAATTTTTTTAGGTCTTACTATATTATGACTTTTTTTCACTTTTTTTGCCATACTATACTATGTCGTTTTTTTCACTTTTTAGGTCCATGACTTTTTTGCCGTACTATACTATGTCGTTTTTTTTCACACTATACTATGTCGTTTTTTTCACTTTTTAGGTCTATGACTTTTTATGACTTTTTTTGCTGTACTATACTATGTCGTTTTTTTCATTTTTTAGGTCCATGACTTTTTGACTTTTTTGCCATACTATACTATGTCTTATTTTTCATTTTTTAGGTCCATGACTTTCTGACTTATTTTGCCATACTATACTATGTTGTTTTTTAAATTTTTTTAGGTCTTATTATATTATGACTTTTTTTCACTTTTTTAGGTCCATGACTTATTTTGCAATACTATACTATGTCGTTTTTTTGGTCTTATTATATTATGACTTTTTTTCACTTTTTTTGCCATACTATACTATGTCGTTTTTTTCACTTTTTAGGTCTATGACTTTTTTTGCCATACTATACTATGTCGTTTTTTTCATTTTTTAGGTCCATGACTTTTTGACTTATTTTGCCATACTATACTATGTCGTTTTTTAAATTTTTTTAGGTCTTACTATATTATGACTTTTTTTCACTTTTTTTTGCCATACTATACTATGTCGTTTTTTTCACTTTTTAGGTCCATGACTTTTTGACTTTTTTGCCATACCATACTATGTCGTTTTTTTTCACTTTTTAGGTCCATGACTTTTTGACTTATTTTGCCATACTATACTATGTCGTTTTTTTTCACTTTTTAGGTCTATGACTTTTTATGACTTTTTTTGCTGTACTATACTATGTCGTTTTTTTCACTTTTTAGGTCTATGACTTTTTTTGCCATACTATACTATGTCGTTTTTTTCATTTTTTAGGTCCATGACTTTTTGACTTATTTTGCCATACTATACTATGTCGTTTTTTAAATTTTTTTAGGTCTTACTATATTATGACTTTTTTTCACTTTTTTTTGCCATACTATACTATGTCGTTTTTTTCACTTTTTAGGTCCATGACTTTTTATGACTTTTTTTGCTGTACTATACTATGACGTTTTTGCCATACTATACTATGTCGTTTTTTTTCACTTTTTAGGTCTTACTATATTATGACTGTTTTTGCCATATTTTAATGACATAATATACAGTTTTTTTCATTTGATGTTCTTATGTAAAAATCCGCTCATGTACCAAACAACTTACATCAATTCAAAACTACTTTTTTGACTAGATCATTTACACAATATGTACTCAGGGGGATAAGGAGACAAACTGTAAAAATAGTCAAATTCATTGTTTTGAAGCTTCAGAAGAAACAGGCGAGACAAAACATTCAACACTTTTCCATTTATTCCGTATTTGTCTGTTGGTATTTGTTGCAACTTCATTAGTATTTTTATTTAAGTTTATTTTATTAGTGGTTTAATACAACAGCGTTTACAGTGCTTCTGTCTCAATAAAGATTTCTGTTTACAAAATACAAAACAAAGCAGCAGCAACATCTGCAGCGCAAGGACTCTGAACACTGTCAGACAAGCAGGACTAGGGTCAGAGTGATGGCAGGTGACTGGAGGGTTGTCGGTCAACCTTGCCTATTACTACCACAGTGCTTTTGAGCAAAGAGGTTGGAGCTGCTCCTTTACCAAATGGGCAAGTACATTTAATGCATCCAAAATTCAGCAGCTGAAGCTCATTAGCAATTTAAAGTATAATGGCAAGATCTTTACGCTCTTTAAGATCAGTTCCCATTTCAAGTCTAAATATTTGTGTTACTGCAGGTTACTACTTGGATGAAATCAAAAGCAGCATAGAGCATCATTATTAGTGTCACAGAAAAGGTAAAGTAACGAATAGATGTGGTTGAAAGCCCCAGAAAGAGGACTTTGAGTGAAGATAACCCACTGGTTGCTTTTGTTATTGTACATATATGTGTCCAGAGTCCAAACATCACAGTGTTGCTGCTTCATCGGCAGGGAAATAAAACTAAACACAGCAAAGGCACATTCAATAACGACGGCCCCGTCCCCTTACTAACACCTAAAAATGATACACAGCTAAGGATGGATACAAAAAAAACCCAAACACACACACTTCGCCGACATGCACAAGTGAACACAAACTCACAGAAACACCCACACGACATGATCGAATGTGGAACAAATTAAATTCCCTTCTGACACCCACGCTGTAAGTTTGAATCCCTTTATAAAAGCACAATGATTAACACACACACACACAATGCTGCAGTTTCCAATGCTATTATTGCACCAAAGTTCCAAGAAAAAAGCAACACAAAGAGCAAAAGAAAAAAGACCCATATTGGTTAAAGACCCAAAAATAGTCTAGTGAGAGTGTAACTATGTCCTGTGCTTTAACTAAACAAAAGTTTGTGCAGCGACACTACACACACACACACAGCTTGGCATATGGAAGACATGAAAGTGTGTGCTTGCCATTAGTACAATGATTTCTATACAAATTAGTTTCTTTCTAATCAACCACACAAACAAAACACTATACACTTTAGAGCAGTTGCCAGGTTGGGGTGTTATCCCCCTCTTTAAGACCGAGACGTCTATACATGAGTATAAAATGCTCAGGCAGCATCCCCCCCAGTTCAAATCTGATGGAGTGGGTTGCCATGTTTGGACAACACCCCCCCCCCTTTATATCCCAGACACTCACTGTGCTTTCATGTGTTAGGATGTGGGAATGAGGTTGCCAGATGTAAGCAGCCATTCAAGTGTTTCAAGTGTTTGCAGGTTGTATATTAAGAGGGAGAAGGGTTGCCATTTTTCGTCGACATCCCCCTTTATTAGAAGATAAGGGATACAGGAGTAACATTCTCTTTATTCGCCACCAATATCTACTAATTTATTTTAGTTCAGTGCTCGGCCTGCTGCGATGTCACAACGTCACATTCTGCTTCTGAAGACGACCCTCGCTGATGTACATTCAAAACGTGCTGTTACTGTGCAACAGTGAGAGAGCGAGCGATGTGGAAGACGTTAAAGGCGACAGACTGCTTAACCAGCCCGTTCGGTTAGAGTTTACGACAAAGAAGAAAATCTGAAAATGTGAGTTCTCGCTAAAAGAAAACCCCACGTAGATTCTCGCACACGATTCCCACGTAACTTACGGATGAAATGAACCCGGGTTCCCATTTATAAATATGTTGGTAACGAGGCTCGACAGCATCCAGCAACAAGTACAGCAACAAAGTGTCACAGCAACTGGAAACTGAGAGATTTCTTTCAAATGAGAAGGATGAACAAGAAGAGTATGTGGTTTAGGAACACTTCAGTTGAGCACAATGAATACGTTTTATATTTTCTAATCACTGATTGTGATGATGTTTTAGCAGGTGATTTAACTTTAAAATAATTCATTTGCTCTAATTGATCGTTCTCCACAGGCCAGAAATCGAACACATCCCAGCAGCTTTTAAGATTAAGACCAAATCACGTTTGAGAATAAGGCAGGTGATGATGTTTATTTTTCTTTTGGGCATGAATTTGAACCAGATCGATAACTTTATCTTTAAAGGTCAAAGTTCAGCTTGTGTCTTGAGCCACGCTGATGATTTTTCTTGTTAAGTTTCACGCAGATCAATTTGAGTTGAAGTGAAACTGACTGACACCACAGCACGAGCTTGTTATCCAATGAGCTTGTTGCTTGTTTTGGGCGTCATAGATCGGAAGTTAAGGTTTCGAGATTCAATCAGCCAATTAGAAGGTGGCGTCGGGCCGGCTGGCCAATCGGGTGTTTCACTTTAGGTGTGGTGCTGTGCGATGAGGTTGCGTAGCTGCTTGATGACGGTGTCGATGAGTTTCTGTCGGTCTCTGTCCGTCTTCCTGAACTGGGCGAAGACGTTGTTCTTCCTGCTCATCTCCTTCATCCTGGAGACAGAGAGGAAGAAGGGATTGGTGGAGGGAAAAGAAAGAGAGGATCACGAAAAACAAGGGTCTGTTTTAGTGTTTCATACTGTGTATTAGATTCTCACAGTTTGGATGCTGTAAGTACACAAATATGCACTTTCAGGAAACACACACACACACACACAACTTGTGGTGCACAGTTTAGTCTGAGCATGTTCAGTACAGACACACACATCTCTGCTGAAGTCGCCTGTTGAAGAAGAAAAGGACATGTCGGCTTTAGAGTTCACTATGTGTGTGTCCGGTGTCACATGAGAAAGTGTGTCTCAGCGTGTGTGTGTTTTGTCGCAGAACACTGGGCAGTTGTAGACCTCCAGGAAGTTCAGGGGACCAGCAGACCAGACAAGCCCCAGCAGGGTGCTTCCTCCTGGGCACAGAGGGACCACCGGGGCCTTGGCCCTACTGGCGCTCCGGAGAAAAAATCCTGAACCTGATTAAAGAAGGTCAACCGTACTGTGCTGAACAATGGGCGGGATCATGCCACTCTGTCTGTGTGTGAGAACTTTCTCAAAAGGTAATCCACAAATTCAGATTATAGCTGTGTGTGTGGGTTTATCATCACTATCTCCACAGCAGCTCAGGCTCTACACTGATAATCTGATGGTACACAGATACACGATGTGGGTGTTGTTGTAGCGATAACGTCCCTTTGTTAACGCCCGCGGAGATAAACATCATCATGGCATGAGTTTATTTTGTGTTTGTGATCAGGATGTGTGTGCGTGCCTCTCGCCACGTATCATGAAATATTAGACACGCCTACAAATAAAAAATGATTTCTCGCATATACACACTTTAGTATTCGTCTGTGCAGTATTTATACATGCCATCATCAAACACACACACACAGAGAAACAATACTCACGGCTTAAATAACCTGTCACAACACCACAGAGAGGAGAGAGAAAAGAGCAGCTGAGGTGGAGGCAAAGAAGGATGGAGCAACTTAAAGTCATGTCCACTATCAATAAATATATCAATATCATTTTTCCCATTAAACAAGCAGGTTAACATTTGGGGAAATGTGCTTATTGGCTGTTTTTAGTGAGAGTGAGATGATATTTGATTCATTTTTTGGACAAAAAAGAGACACAACAAAACCCAAAGATCTTGAATTTATAATAATGTATGACCGAGAAAACACAAACTAAACCTCAAGTTTAAATAAATGAAACCATCAAATCTTTGCTTGAAAATGACTTGAAACGAAGTGTTCATCGAAAGCGGTGTTTAGCCTAGCTTAGCATAAATACTGAAGGCAGGGGAGGAACGCTAGCCTTTAATCATTCAATCAATACAATATCCATCACACGTTACCAGTGCCACGTCTTTATACTGCTCACTTTGTCCAAAACCCAAAGATACTCAATTTACAATCATAATAAACAAGGGAAAAGCAGCGTGTTTGGCAGTTCTGCTTGATAACTGAAGTGATTAATGGATGATCAAAATGCAGATGCTGAAGATCTGTCAACTAACTGATTAATTATTTAGGCACTACGTTATTAAATTACAGCAAAGAAGTGATGAATCCAAGAACAAAGGGAGAAAGTGTGTGTGAATGGAGGAGTACTCACTTCTCCAGCAGGGCCAGTGCAGTGTGTGGGTTGACTCTCAGGTATTTGCAGGTGGGTTTGCCGTAGTCAGCCAGGTAGGTCGACCAATCCCACTGGGTGAACAGTTCCAGCAACTAGATAAAGACAGGAAGAGAGATGGTGAGATACCGAGAAAAGATGTTCCCTTTTCACCCACAGAAACACGTCCAGTTTTAGGGAAATGAAATGATCCGTTCAGCCGTGAGAGCGTAAAAACCAACATCCTCCAGCGGATCGTTGGCTCAGACGCTAACGAGTCAACATGTTGAGAAAGACGTGGTAACCGGTTTCGAAGCAGCGCTAAAGTTACAAAATATGGAGAGAAATCTTAACTGTTGTTACGAAATCAAGCAAAAGGTCTAACGTACCTTTAAGCTGCTTTTTAAAGTGTTAAGTTCAAACCTTCAATTTGACTTTCTACTCATAGAGATATTTGTAAACTTAACTTATAAAAATGGGGTTGCATCAAACTAAACAGATCAGTTGTTGCTTAATATTTACAGCTGCTAACTGCCAGGAGTAAACGTTAGAACAAACACACTGTTTAGATTATATTTCAAAAGAACTGGTAGAAAACGGGCGACGCATCTGAAACGACACTCAAAACCGAAAATGCTGTTTAATAAAGATGTAAAGTGGAAAAATTAGATTTCAGGAAAACACCGCATACCAGAAATTACAATAGACTGAATGGGTTGAATTGCATCTGTTAGTTTAGCGTAATCGGGTATTTCCCTATATTTGTAAACAAATACAACAACTTGGAAAAGCACATATTTCTCCATGTTTTCACATAAATAAATGACTGACTTTAATAAATAGTTTGTCATGTAAAAATGTTATTTTTTGCGAAAGCTTGTGACGCTACAGTGACTTGTTTCTGTTTTTAATTATTTTTATAAAACTATGCTATGGATGTTTTCTGGCCACTGTGTCACTCGACACCAATTTCTTTTCATGGTGCAACATAACGGAGGAAATATGCAAAAGCTGGTGCAGCCCAGACGTAATGTTTATGTCCTCAACTCTCAACAGATGATTAATTGACCCATTTCCCAGGAATCCACTGTATTGCTCAAGTTCTGGGATGTTTTCAGCTGGATATATTCATAAACAAACAAAACATACAACAGAAGACGAGGAGAAGCGTGTGGAGGTCTGAAGGGAGGAAGGACGACAGTGAAGGGGGAGGGGGGGTGAAGTTTTCTTCTAAATGGCTCACATTTGAAACTGTTGCATAACCTGCTGCTGCCCTGCTGAACTCGACCTAACACACACACACACACACACACACACAGAAACAGGCCCAGGCAGGCAAACCTCGTAAGCCTGCAGACGTACACACTCTCAGTCTCTCTATCTCTGTCTGTAACACACACACACACACACACACACACACAAATATATGAGCAAGGAGCCCCAGTGAACTCTGGGTAACACCAAACACACACACAGATCCAGAGAGAGAAACCATATGTGAGCGAGGGATGAGAGAAGAGGAGGAGAGGGAGGGAGGGAGGGAGGGAGGGAAAGGAGTACAGAGGGATGGAGAGCGAAACCACATGTGGGAGACAGAGAGAAAATAAGAGAGAGTAAAGATGGAAAGAGACGCAGATGGAGAGAAATGGATAACAGCACAGAGAGAGGAGGGAGGGAGGGAGGGAGGGAGGGGTAAAGGAAGGGCAGATGAAGATGGATAGATAAGAGCGAGGGTAGAGGATGGACGAGTGATAGAAGATGGAGGTGCGCCATTAGACAAACAGGAAGCAGACAGACGGGGACAGGCGTTGTCGGTGTGGCACACATTCAAAGTTTGAAGAGGGATAAAAAAAAATTTAAAAAAATGTTTTAAAAAAAGTTGAATTTGAGGTTTTTGAACAAATTTAACCTCAAATTTCATCCTGTCAATGTCTCTGTCATCATTTAGAAAACTGCTGGGTCGTGCTGCTGCTCGGTCAACACCGTGGCGCCTATTTGACTCGTCAAACAGGAAACAATCAGCTGCGTTCACTCGACCAATTGTGGCGACAAACGATTTGATTGGAACATTTACAGAAGTTAAAATCTAGAGGTTTTGGACTTGACTTTAGTCGGACTGACACTCTGTATCAGTATCTGTGATTCAGCTCCAGGTTTTTCTTGGCATCCGATTGAAAACAAGAAGTTTTTGTCGTATTGTTCAACCCTACTTTAATTTCCCGCCATTTCCCATCTGACGTTATAATTCCACACGACAATATTTACAGAAGGAGAACAATGTGTGTCGCTAAAACAATCGTCACTTTAAACTGATCCAGACGAGACTGTGTGTCTAATACTGAACAATTTAACAACTACCTTTAAGTTCAGTTGATTTCTTTAATCTGCAAACACGTAGATTAGAGTTTCATCAGTTATTTACCTATTATTATTATTACAAATATAAACCATCGTTATGGCTGAACTCCTAAATTTAAACCCTAACAATCATATATTTGCAGAATTTTGTGGAAATTCACTTTTTCTTTTCATGACATTCTGCTGAAACATATGTATGTAACAAAACTGTTAAATAAACATAAACCAGCGTCACTTTTTAACTTTTTCTTTTCTAACAGTTTGAGGATTGAATGGTCAAATGTGTCTCAAGAAGCTGAGAGAGTTTTCTCTATTGTGATTGGTGTAAATGCAACAAGAGGTCAGGGCTTTTTACCTGACTTCACCTCATCACAGTCATTCATGAAAACAGGAAGTGTCCTAAATATTTTCAGCGTCCACCAACGAGTTATAAAAACCGATGTTTCCTCTAAATCTGGCTTTGGTGGGAGACTGCAAGACGAATGGTTCATTTGGACTTCCTGATCTTTTCCTCCCTCCCTCCCTCCCTCCCTCTCCCACCATCCCCTATCACTGTTTTCTTCTCCTCCTTCCCTTCCTCCCTCTGGTCCTTTCACTTCTGTATTCATCGCTCGCTCTCTCTCCTTTGTCCCCGAGTTCACCCTTGCACGGCCGAGGTTTGACCTGCTAATCCTCCCGTATAAACAAGTACAAACACACACACACACACACACACACATACACACACACGCTGCACGATAACAGGCAGCGTGTGAACACACAAACAGGTATACACACAAATAAAGGCAGTTACATAAAGCACAAACATCATCTGTCTGTGAAGTTATGTGAGCAAATATGTCAGTTAATTAGGTGCAGATACATGAGAAAGTGTGTGTGTGTGTGTGTGTGTGTGTGAGAGAGGTAAGGATAAGGTGAAGGTGTACCAGATAAAGATACTGTAGCTGTGTGTTTAGAGGAAATAACCCTAAAAAGCTGCATTAACACACGCACACGCACACACACACACACACACACACACACACACACACACACACACACACACACACACACACACACACACACAAGCTGGTAGCCGAGGTCCATGAGATTTTCATGTTATCTAAGACGATCGTTGTCTTTACTCTGGAATCAAGCTCAGCACATCTCTCTCTCTCTCTCTCTCTCTCTCTCTCTCTCTCTGTCAGTGTCTCTCTCTCTCTCTCTCTCTCCTATCACAGATAACAGAAAACAAATGCTCAACAAAAAGATTCTCACCGGGATTGAAGATGAAAGAGGGAAGGAGAAAAAAGAGAATGAGAGGAGTTCATACGAATTAAAGGAACAAAAGAAAACGAAGGAAAGAAGAGAGGGAGGAGAAGGAAAGAAAGCCGAGTAAGAAAAAGAGGATAGGAGAGAGGAGGAGAGGGAACAATAAGAAGAGATGGGAAGGAAAGAAAAGAGGAGAGGAGAGATAAGATAGACGGGAGTTCAAGATGAGAAAGACGAAAGAACGGGGGGAGGTAAGGAGGTGAAAGAGGAGAGGAGAAGAGTGATAAGATGAGAGAATGAGAAAAGAAACAAGACAGGAAGGCAGATAAAAGAGAAGAAGAAAGGAGATGACAGAAATGATAGAAGAGTTAAGATGGGAGAAACAGAAGAAGAAGAAAAGGGGGATGAAAGAAGATGAACTGATTGAAAAGAGAAGAGATAAAGTGAAGAGGAGAGGAAAGTTGAGGAGGAATATGGTGGAGGTGAAGAAGGAAAGGAAACAAGGAAAGAAGAGGAGAAAGATGAAAGAAAAGGGAGAGTAATGAAGCAATGGAGGGGAGGAGAGGATAGGAGACAAGGAGAAGAGGAGAAGGAGAGATGAAGCGAGATGAGAAAGGAAGAGAGAAGAAGAGATAGAAAGAGAGAAGGAGAGAGGGAGTTTTGGGTGAACTTGAGGTCAGTAGGTAAATTTGGATGGAGGGAGGGAACAAACAGTAGGAGAAGTGCAACAAGAAGGGAGGAGGAGGAGGAGGAGGAGGAGAGGCAGATAAGACTGATGGAAATGGAAGAGAAACGAAGAAGAAGAAAAAAAAGAAAAAGAAAAGAGAGAGCGTGGGCTTTCCAAAAAAACGAGCTACACGCGAGCCAGCAGGTCGCTCCTGAGCAAACACACACACACACACACACACACACACACACACACACACACACACACACACACACAGAAAGAAACAGGTCTCTCTCTTCACCTCTCGCTGAACTTCTCTCTCCGTCTCGCTCCCCCTCTCTCACCTCGCCATGACCTCCCCCGTGCTATCGCTCCTGTCTCCGCACACACACACACACACGCACACGCACACACACACACACACACACACACACACACACACACACACACACAGAGATTATTGCTTCCTCTTATTCTTCTGGGGGACGAGCAGAAAAACAAAGTGACGTGTTACCCTCACATTTCTTGTTTGTTTTCTCTCATTTCTCCTCCGCTAATGGGGTTCTCTCTCTCTCTCTCTCTCCATCCCCCACTCCCTCTCTTTTTGTGTCTACTTTCTCTCTCTCCCCCTTATTCTCATTCAATCCATCACTCCTTCCTCTCTCCCCCACTCGCCCTCCATTTTGAACATCCCTTCTTTCTTCTCTAACTTCCTCCTTCTTTTCTTCCCTCTTGTTCCCTTTTTCATTTCCTTGCTTTCTTTCCCTCCATTTGCTCTTCTCCCCTTCTTCTTCCTCCTCCCATCTTTACTTTCTACTCATTCTCTCCATTTCAACTATT